GAACTACAAATCCCTCTACCCTACCTAAAACAACCCAATTTATGTCAAATAGGACCAAGAAAGTGTATAATATTTATGATTTTATCTGCTGTAATACAAAAAATGTGATTTATTTGCTCGAATGCCCATGTGGCCTCCAATATGTGGGGATGACCACAAGGTGTTTAAAGACAAGACTGAGCGAACACTGTAGAAATATCAAAAATGGATACTTAAATCATACAGTATCCAAACATTTTATTATACACAATAAAGATCCTTACTTATTAAAGTGTATTGGCATTAAGAAATGTTCTATCCCCTGGCGAGGGGGCAATATAAAAAAGATATTAGGTAAAAATGAAATGGAATGGGTGTATAACCTCCAGACACTTATACCCCATGGTCTAAATGCAGACTTTGATCTGCATAATTTTTTATAAAGACACCAGTATTGTAATTTACTATTTTCGTGTAATTTTGACTTTTTAATATTGCATTTTTATCTTTTTTATATTGTATTTTACCTAATTATCATATGTTCTTATGCATCTAACTTTAAGGCTATTATAGTGGCTTTTTAGTAGGAACCAAGACCAGTATTTTTATATTTTATATTTCACTTTTTCATATTATTATTTATTTATTTATTTATTTTTTTCTCATACACCTTTTAGCTGTTTTTTATCAGCTATTACAAGATTTTAGCTAAATAGTTTCCCCTGTTTTTTTTTCCTTTTTATTGTTTTTTTCTTTTTTTTTTTACCTATATAGGTTGCTGCATTCACAACTATATGTCCCACAAGTCATTGCGGTTACACTTCCGGTTCCTGGAAGTGCCGCATATTTTACAATTTTTCCCTGCTCGTTTTTATGTAATTTTAACATCATGGGACTTGTCTCCCCACAAGTAATCCATAATTTTTTTTTTTTATTTTTTTTTCTAGCTTCCATTTTTAGATCACCTTATGGGGAACTACAATACCCATAAGGCCGTGCGGCTATACTGCCGAAAACCGGAAGTGATGATTATCACATGACCAATTGTGTCTTTATTTTTATAATCCTTCTCATCCTCGTTTTTAATAAAAAACACTGAATATGCCTCATTAACCAGTTGCTTTTTAGTAGGAAATCAGCTATTACAAGATTTTAGCAAAAAAGATTTTAGCCAAATAGTTTCCCTTATTTCTTTTCCTTTTCATTATTTTTTTTTTTTTCCTATATAGGTTGCTGCATTCACAACTACATGCCCCACAAGTCATTGCGGTTCCACTTCCGGTTTTCGGAAGTGCCGCATATTTTACAACTTTCCCCTGCTCGTTTTTATGTAATTTTAACACCATGGGACTTGTTTCCCCACAAGTAACCCTATCCTTTGTTTTTTTGTTTTTTTTTTTCTCTTTTATTAGCTTCCGTTTTTAGATGGCCTTATGGGGAACTACAATACCCATAAGGCCGTGCGGCTATACTGCCGAAAACCGGAAGTGATGATTATCACATGACCAATTGTGTTTTTAATTTTATAATCCTTCTCATCTTCGTTTTTAATAAAAAAACACTGAATATGCCTTATTAACCTATTTACTATCTGAGAATAATTTAATACTGTTAATTTGAGATGTAAAAAAGTATCTTTATTCTGATTGGCCGAAATTTTTTGGCGCCAATTTTAAATTGAACTATGTCTATATAAACACTATCTGCCAGGTTTTGTATTATATTCCATTTGATAAAGTCTGTTAGACGAAACGCGTTATGGAAATTTAATTTTGTATAATAAATATTAAAGTTTTTGGTTAACTGATAGTCCCACTACTTTTATTTATACATGTACCCTGGCTATTTATCGTTTTAGTTCATTGTTATATTTTATATATACTCTATTCCGATTTTAATACTATCTCTACAAGTTCCTGACAACCAAAGAAATCCATAGGTGGGGATTATTCCACCAGCGCTGACATCAA